GATTGAAGTCTCGCTCCAAGCCGTTGTAAAATACTGGATAAACACGTAAATAATGCGCCACACAAACTTTATACGTCGAGTTACCTACGACATTATGAGCAAGACTGTTTATATGTTATGATTTGGATTTATTTTAATCTAATTTAAGGTAAACTGTCCACAATGTGCATAAAATCTGAGCAAAAAGTCTCAGTAACCTCCGACATCAGAGTTTATAGTCACAAGCTGTTTCTCGCTGTTAGAGGTTCAATCGCAGAGTTTGATACCAAATCTTTAAACAAAATATCATAAGACAATGTTTTTCTGACACTTCTGCGTCTGCGTTGATCTGCATTCTTATCGCTTATAAGTTGTTGGAGACATTTTTGGGTCAATATCTTTAATCAAATTGTTAAAAAATGTCAAAAATCCCTCCGAAGAACCACATTAAGACCTTGAATCACACCATTAAACAATCGGGATTTGACATTTGACAACAGATTTCTGAGCCGTAACCAGTGCAGAAAATAACAACATGTGACTGTAAATAAACACATTTTCTGTGTTTTGTATTATTTAGTTTTAATAGATCATTTTGTCCAGTTCTCAGCTGAAATCGTCCTGTTGCTGTTCACTCTCTCTGTGAACTCTCACCCTGAACTTTAAGCAGATTTGATCTCGTCTGGGTTACACAATGTGGGAGTTCTGGATCCAGTCTGGACCAGAACTCCTATTTCAAAAAGGGGGACGTGAACTTTTGGCTGGTAAAAATGTAAATATTTTATTTCTGATTGAGCCTCAGTTGAACTCGGTTGAAGCTGACCGCTTCCTGACCCCCTCCGCCCGGGAACGTGAACTGAAGATGAACCGGTGGCAAGTCCGGAGTCCGGTTCGAGCGGGAGGGTGAACGGAGTGCTGTTCCTCCGTCTCTGTGTTTAAGGAGACGACAGGGTCGGTTCCTCTGGTTCTGCGTCGGTTCAGAGAACTTTTATGATCAGATTCTTTACAGGAAGCATCTTAATGTCTGCGTCTAACGTAGAGTTCAGGTGGTCAGACGTCGCTGCAGTGACGTTAATGTGCTCACTCTGGAGTAATCTAACAGTAAACTGTTTCCAGGTGTGGAAGGAGGCGCGGTCAGAGTGACGGGGGCTAAAGGCTTCGCTCCATCACAAGACTACAAGGTACACTAACTCACTAACCTGAGATGTGACTGTTTATGTCTTTTAATATATTTGTTACAGTTAATTGTTCATCTCTCGCTGCTGCAACTGGAGCTAACAGCTAACAGCTAACATATCCTTCCTCCCCCTCGTCTCTCCAGGTGTGCGCTACCTACATGGATGGTTTCCGGGCGACGGCGGTTTGTCCGGTCGGAGGACCGAGAGCGGCGGAAAAGGCCCGACGAACCGCAGACAGCATCATCAAACGGTGTGTAAGAGGAAAGACTTCCTGTGTGTGTGTGTGTGTGTGTGGATGCTGCCTCTAAAATGGATTCCTAACAGTAAGAGTGTGTGTGTGTGTGTGTGTGTGTGTGTGTGTGTGTGTGTGTGTGTGTGTGCAGGACGAAGCGTATTTTTAAGCAGTTGGGGCTGGAAGATTTCAGCTCCGTCAACGTCCAGGTCCTCGGAGCCGAGGACACGTACGGTGCCAACGCTTGCAGCAAGGTAACACACACACACACACACACACACACAAACACACACACACACACACACACACACAAGAAAAGTACAAACTTTTATATAAAATCTGAATAAAAGTTGAAGGAATATCTACTTCCTGTTCTGTTTTCTTTCTTCATAAACATTAAAAAAACGAGACCGAACTTCAGAATATTCTCTCTTTCTTTCCAGTGTTAACTCCTCATCCCTCCATCTCTCAGTCTTTAACACCACAACCAGGTCAGGGTTCAGAACTTAAGCCTGTTTCACGCCTCTAAACTCTCCCTCCATCCAAAACTTCTCCTCCAGCAGAAGCAGCTCAGGGTCGGAGTTAATCCTGTTTCACACCTCTAACCTCCCACACTCTCTCTCTCTCTCTCTCTCTGTCTCTGTGTCTCTCTCTGTCTCTCTCTCTCTCTCTCTCTCTCTCTCTCTCTCTGTCTCTTCTGGAGGTTTTAGTAAAACAGGAGAGCAAAATGTGATCAAAGTTATATATTATATTGTACTGTGTGTGTGTGTGTGTGTGTGTGTGTGTGTGTGTGTGCAGGGATCCAGGGAGGCTGTGATCTGGATGGCCGTCCACCACAAACAGAAGAAAGCTCTGGAGCTGTTCGCCAGAGAAGTAGCTCCCGCAGGAACCGGCGCCGGTACGATAGCGTGTTGTTTTTAAACGAGGCATCAGATCTTATTTAGCATCAGTTTTTGCAAATTAGCTCAAATACAGATCATCTGAAGTCTGACCTGTACCCTTCCTAAGCCCCGCCCCCTTTCTGCTCTGTGCTCCAATCACAGTTGGACAGAAGCTATCCAATCTTTTAAATATCTACAAAATGTGGTTGTCTTTTCAACATAGATTAGCTTAGCACGTAGCATATCTAAGAACAGGAGAGGAGGAAGTTGACCGAGGCTCAATGTGGCGTGAGGACTGGTGAGTGGACGGTCAGTCGGGTTCAGAAACCTTCTTACAGCCCTGAGATTATTTAATAAAAACAAATATTAATAAAAACATTATTATCAGTTAATGCAGCTAAATATGTTGTTTTCATGTCGTAATCTTCAGGATCCATTAATGAACACACACAGTACAGAGGGGAGTGTGTTACTGCTGATAAGGAGGGTCGTGACCTCCTCAACCAGATTGGGATTTTTGTTTATAGTGACAAGTTCAACACAGACACACACACACACACACACACATGAACTCTGTGTGACTCCAGCTGCTGATTCACGCCGTCAGAACTAAAAGTAGGACAGCTGAACTCGACTCTGCTGACGCTGCAAACATCTGTGTTTTTGTGCTCGTGAACTTTTGGTTCTTCTCTCGTTCCGTCTTCCAGCTCCCGGACTGACCGGCATCGTGGGCGGACGACCCCGAGTGTGAGTGCGCTCCCTCGTTAACTCGTACGGGAAACCGGTTCGACAGGTGAAACATCTGGAGAACAGCTGTGTTGTTCACAATAAATCAAAAGAGTAAAAAATGTGTGTCTGTCGTTTCAGGTCTCCGGTCCTGAAGCCGTTTTTCTTCTTACACCCAAAATCTGAGCTGAAGGTGACGTTTGAGTTCAATCTGCAAACAGTTTTTCTTACAAATGAGGAACTGTGATGAGTCAGAGTATAAAAGCTAGAGTTACTGTATGTCTGCGCTGCATTAGTCCTTCTTTATAAACTAGTGTGTTGGGTAATAAAGACGTTATTATTGTGTAAATCTACTGGTAGAAAAGATCTTTAATGCCGACCAATCAAAAACGATCAACCGTGTAAACGGGAAGTCACTGCAGCGTCACAAGTTAACAGCTTCAGGAGGCCAAAAGATGTATTAAAACATTTATTTATGATTTTATCTTATTTATACAAACATGGAGGGACTATGGTGGTCTTCCATAGAAACCTGTGTGTTTCAGAGTTAGTCGTATTCATGCAGTTTAGAATTAGTAATGCTAAGCTAACCGAGGTGATCTGGTCATTCGGGCCAACATTTGGTTATTTTTGGTGAAATGTTATTCAAAATCTTGTCAGTTTACATGATATTTAACAGTAGTGTTTAAATTAGTGAATTCACCTCAGATTTTAATCATTTTTGTGAGGTCTCAGACTCATTTTAACATTTAAATTCTTATCGTGGACTAGCTGCTGCCTGAGTCGAGTAGAGAGAGTTGATGTTGAGATTTTTAACTCTCCTGTTAAATGACACAAGTGTCCTGGCTGCAGGTGGACGTTCACGTCGGTGGGGAGCTGGCGGAGTCTCTCGCGGAGGCGGAGCCAGACGCACGTGAGCAGGAAGCCCCTCCCACCTCAGCAGAGGACGCGCCCGACGCAGGTAAACGCAAGTTACACCTGAGCCAATCGGTTTTAACCCCTCTCATCCGTCAGTTAACTGCTAGTGGAGCCACTGTTGCTATGGTTACCTGTAGTTGTAGTTCTGAAAAACATTCCAGGGATTCTTGAGTCCTTGAGGATGTTCTGGGAATCCATGAGGGGGGGGCGGTTTCTATAGAGCTTAACTCGTCCTTGAGGGGCCTCCTGGGGTCTTTACGGGGGGTTTCTCCTCTGGTTGATTCTTAAAGTGTTAATTATATTATAACTATTGATTAACAGATGATATTACTGCTGTGTATATAGACCTGTGTGCAGTTAGTGGTGGTTGCCTGCAGAGGGCGACATCTTCACATGTCACCATTTACCTCCAAATAACAACAAACACAGAAACCAGATCCACGGAAACATCTCATATTGTTCCAAAAGAAAGTCTGAATGTCTGAATGATAAAAACCTACAAAAAACTGAGATTGTGAGAATCAATTAAGACTCTGTGTGTGTGTGTGTGTGTGTGTGTGTGTCTTTGTCCTTTCAGCCTTTCAGTAACGCTGCATTCACAAACAATACTGAGCACACACACAGACTATCCACACAACGTTAATGACGTACTTGTGACGCAGCGGAGGAACTACATTTAAAAACCTGAATTGAAGCACACAATAAAAAGTGGCACTCGAGTAAATGTTTTACGAAACAACACAGACGGTCACACATTCAGTGAACATTGTGTTTCTGCTCAGAGCTGCCCAGCGGACCCCACAGCTACAGGCTGGAGGAGCTCGCCTACACGAGGAGCGGAGACAAAGGAGACTCGGCTAACATCGGTGAGAAAACAAGAAGTGAAGCGGTGGTTTTTTTTATTTGTTGTAAATTTAAAGATGGATGCCTGTTCTTCACTCTGAGTTTCTCTTCGTCTTTAGGAGTGATCGCTCGTCATCCTCTCTTCTTCCCCTACCTGAAGAAACACCTGACTTCTTCCGTCGTGGCAGAATACTTCTCCCACCTCATCCAGCCCGGGGTGAACGACGCCGTCACACGGTGAGCAGACAGACAGGCGGACAGACAGAGAGACAGACAGACAGACAGAGAGACAGACAGACGGACAGAGAGACGGGGAGAGAGAGAGAGACAGACAGACAGACAGGGGGAGAGAGAGAGGAAGAAAGAGGAAGAAAAACAAAATGAGATGTCGACATCTGATTCAGGAATTCTTCTGTTAGCCAAGAATCACCTCTGACATTTTGGTCAAAAATATAAAAATCCCCCAAAAACAGACGAGTTAAGTATCCAGTTTATGAGCTAACGACCTTACGGTGGCCCAGACGGTTCAATCCGTTCATCAAATATATTTATTAACAAACGACCGTAACAAAGCTCGGTTAGTGTTTACATCTTCTACTGAACCCTCCCCAACCGAGACAGTAAGTGAAGCTTACAGGTAGAACCGCTGCTCGAGGCACTAGAAGCACGTTCATGACCGTTTGTAAAGGTTCCTGTGTGGTAGCTACCTGCTTTGTAAAGATAGCGAAGCTAGCAGCTCAGAGAGGCGAACTCTCCTGCGTCTGTGGCAGAGTGTGTCAGGCTAACGGCCACGCTGCAGTAGCCGGTTTCAACCAGTAGAGGGCGGTCAGAATAGAACTCAAATATTTTGCACTAAAAGGTCTGAATCACCCAACAACGCCATCTTTAGTCAGGTGTGTGTGTGTGTGTGTGTGTGTGTGTGTGTGTGTGTGTGTGTGTGTGTGTGTGGGAGTTGGAGTGCAACACACACACACAGCAGTGGCTGCGGTCGCTGTAATCACTGTCAGACGTCGGCCTTCAGCAACAGGACACAACAGGGCAAAAACAAGACACACAATCTGAGGTTGAACAGATATTAGTCACGATCGCACACACACACACTCACACAAACCTCCTACATGTTTGTCTTCTTCTTCTCAGTATTTATCTGCTGACACGCCACTACGACTCCTCTTCTCATCCTGCAGACTGTCGGCTCAGTTTGGACTAAATATTTTAAATTCCAGAGTCACAATAACTTAAAATTCCCTCATATTTCTCATATTTGAACTCAGTCGACCGTTTAACCTCCAACAGCTGAACCATATTACACCTTCTCATTAATCTCTGCTCACTTTATTGTTGAAATCTCCATTTATAACCCATAAAGTGTGGAAAAACCTGGCAATCATTTAGCCTAGCTTAGCATAGAACTGCTTCACAAATACATCAACTAACAGCCTTAGAGATCACAAATTAACACATTCCTCGTTTGTTTAATGCATACACACAAACAGGAGTGTATAAATGAGGTTCCCAAACATCCTGGGATTTTGAGACTGGTTTTTGAGTCCTGGAAACACCTGGAAATGGATTAAAATGACCCCAAAATCCTGGAAATGTTTAATTGTCTTTCACCCCCTCGCTCTTGCCTACATAAACCTTGGTGCGTACTTTGTTTGAAACGCAACTGTCGGTGGGATATGTTGCGTGAAGTACAATGCGTGCAAATAGCCAAAAATGACTACTACAACCAAAATGTCTCACTTCCTGTTGGGTTTGGGGTCCAGGATGTTTATTTGAAACCATCTTGGGGAGCTGCTGTTGAGCCATTTTGCCAAGCCCAAGAGCAAGAACCCGTAAATCTTTTTAAAAGTTTAAGTCTGTGCAGCGTTTGTGGAGTTTTTGAGGATGTTGCAGGCACCAAAAATGTGATTAATTTGGCAGAATAATAATAATTCCTTACATCTCAAGAGGGCTTTAATAAGAATAATAAGAGCCGGTTTGCGTCTGCATGACGTCTCACAGCTGTTTGTTATATCGTGTCCACCAGCGTAACTGGAGGAAATCTAAAATCCGATTTAAAACATCTTAACCATGTTGCCGGCTCCGTTTTTCAAACCCCACAAAAACCAGGCTGACAAAGATTTAACAGAGTGCTGAAGACACTGGAGGGCAGCTGCGGTTCGAACCATTACGCTGTCAGCAGGAAGAGAAACCACAACTGACTGAGGACAGAAACCAGGAACACAACTTCCACTGAAACCAAAGACACAACACCATAAACATCACGACTGTCGTAACCCGGCTCCAAGGTGATCACAGAGGGATCAATAGGAGACCGGGGCTTGTTTGTCTCCAAACAACAGCATCTTGTAAACAAAGACTTTCTGCAGCCACTGAGCTGTCAAAGGCAAAATATAAGTAAAGTTGTATTTATGTGTTTCAAAATGGAAACAAAATCCTGTCAACAAGTTTGTTGTGGTTGGGAAAAGGGCAGTTTGAACCATCTATAACGGACAAACTTCAATCAATCAGATCACTGAACAATATAACGCAATCAAACTTTTACCGAGGTTAGTCGGGAGACGAGAGAAAACATCTTTTCTGATATAACAGATGCTAGCAGCAGCTACACTAACCTCTTTAGTTTTATTCAAACGAGAGGCAGAGAATATGAATAAGGGAATAGCAGCGTTATTCTGTGCAATTCTAAACTCTATAGCTAGATAGCAACTCGGCACTTTCACAAACGCTGGTTTTGGCAAGCGATCAATATGATTAACGGAAAAAAGATCAAGCAGGAGTCGAGCTCCAGGTGAACTAACTTGTATTATGTAAAAGATGTGGCATCAAAAGCCTTTTGCTTAATTGTGATTGGCTACTTGGGTCAAATGTGACATTGACGAGTGTTTATTGTTGTTTTGTGTATTTGTTTCTACTGTATTTTAACTTTGATGCATGTCTAAGTGAAAAAAGAAAAACACAGGGAAAGAGAAACCATCAGAAAACATGTATGTTTAGCGTGTTATCGTGTTTACAGGATAATTAGCATTAAACATGATGATGTCTTTTTTTGGGGAACGAATATCGGAACACGTGCGCTGCCGGCGGACATGTTTGAGCGATGACTCGGCGCCGCGGCGTGTTAGCGATTAGCGTAATGAAGAGGTGGAGGCCGTAAAGCTCGCTGACCTGCATCTCCTCTCGCACCCCTGAAACGCCTCCCCGCCGCCACAGACCCTTCATTAGTGCACCTCCACCGCTCGTTAAACCCTGTGGGAGGCACACACACACACACACACACACACACACACACACACACACACACACACACACACACACACACACATTTAACTGCTAACAGACACACACTCAGGTTTTTTTTACATACACACACATTAACGAGTAATTGTGTGCAATAAACCGCCACATGGTGCCAGGCTGTGCTGGCGTGTGTGTTTTAAACGTGCGAAGGTTGGCGTTGCCGTGGTTACGAGGTGTGTTTTTTTTTTTTTTTTTTTTAAACTGTTGCTGTGGTCTGCAGATACACTCTGCCGGGGATCCACGGGCTCAACTTTGTTCTGCAGAGTTCACTGGGAGGAGGAGGGGTGGCGTCTCTACGCAGCGACCCCCAGGTAACACACACACACACACACACACACACACACACACACACACACACACACACACACACACACACACTTCCTGTTTCTGAAGTCTCTCTTTCATCACCTCGTCTCTCTCGCCGCCTCCAAACACTGTTTTTCTTTTGCTTCAAACAGCTTGAAACTGCAGCCTCACAGTGACAAAATTTAAATATATAATGTGTTATTTATATATTTAGTGACAGTTTGTGTTTTTAATCTAAACTCTGGTTTTAGCTTAATTTGTAAAATTAAACTGCACACAAATATTGATTATAACACTGAAAACAAAAGTTCTAAATTTAAAGAATTTCACAGAATAATCCCACTGAGCTTTATATTGTTTGTATTAATTAGATTTTTTTTATAAACTGCAAGCAGAAAATGGAAACGCTAACCATAAATTATATATTAACATTAATATAAATTATAAAATGTACCTTTTCAGAAAGATATTTAGATTAATATATTTCACTGATAAGAAAAGTATTTTGTTGTTTCCCAATAAAAATCTGCGACAGTTGGAACTAAATATCTTTCAAACACAACTATTCATTTGTCTCTAAAGAAATCACACAAAAGGTTTTATTATTTTATATTCAAGAACAACACAAACACGAGATCTCAGCGTAAAACTTACACATTTTAAAGGTTTTCACAAAATAATCCCACAGAACAAGAAACACTCACAAGGTCTCGTTTACAAGACGAAGCCAAACTACGAATGCGACGGCTAAAGTTAGGTAGACGAGGTTGTGTGCGCCAGCAACAGTCAGTGATGGAAAATATTCAGCTAACATTGCTGCTGCTGAAGGTATTTGAAGTCTTTCCACCTTCCTCTTGTTGCCTTTCACCCTCCTCCTCCTCCCTCCCTCCTGTAAAGCTTTTTACCGCCTCGCAGGAATCCACAGCACATCAAAGACTCACAATGTGCTAACACACACACCTCACACACTCCCATAAAACCCCAACACACACAACCTGTAAATTCACACACACTGGAGGTGGAAACACACATGTTCACGTCGTACGAACAAACTTTTTATGCTTTGTTTCCTCAGGGTAAAGCCTACGGTCAGATGCTGCTGGACCTGAAGCTGAGAGGGCTGCCCGACCTCAAATCACTGGTGGACTGAGAGAGAAAGTTAACGAGGGGGGTGAGCGAGGGGGGGGAGAGCGGTGGGAAACAGAGACAGACAGATCCTTTATGAGGTTGCGTTAAAGAGAAAACCTGAAGAACGCGAGATTACAGAAACAAAGACACGTTTATGTTCGTACACACTGCAGACCAGAAGAGAGCGTTCGGAAAATTAAACACCATAAAGTATTTTAATAAGGTTCAACAGGAGGCGCCACGACAACTCTAATGCTGAAATCACCTCCTCAAAGTCCCTGTGAACAGAACGGCAGCCAACAGCGCTAAAGCTGTGCTACGTCCCCCAGAAACAGACCGACAGAGGACAGTTTGACTTCTAGCACCTTCTGCAACGAGCTAACGGCAGCTAACATTACGTTCATTAGCTTCTTTTAGTAACAAGTCCATCTGGAAACTCCATAATTCACCTCGGTACCGCTGTCGTCAAACTGTCCTCTGTCTGTCTCGGAGGTTGTGTTCCCCGTTCGGTTGCACGCTAACGGCAGCTACGTTAGCAGTTAACTAATGTTAGGTCAGCTTGTTTCTCTGATAACTTAAGATCCAGACGTCCGATGACTAAAATCCTTCATCCGGTTCAAATCTAGAGTTAAAAAGCACCAAGATCTAAACAGTGGATGGTAACAATGTGGCTTCAGACTGGATCAACAGTCAATGTATGACAGCTTCTGGCAGACAACCACAACGCTGACGCAGGCACAAAGGGGATATGACGCCATTTATTATAGATTATTGATTGAATCAACTACATATAGAACATAGCTGTAGAGTTTATAGACTGTTTAATGATTATAGATTTAACAGTACATGCAGAACAACTTATTTTGAAGAGAGAATAAAGTTATTTGTAGGTAATAAAATTATTGTAGCTTCTGTGAGGGTTGCGGCTTAAAGGAACAATTTTAGTGTCAAACTCTCGTCACAATCTGAACTCGAGCTCCTTACCGGCTGCAGGGGAGCTGCCTCTGACCTCTGACCTTCATCAACAACGGGGAGCGTGGTGGTTTGGGATTTCCCTCGGAGGGTAAACAAAGTATCCACCTAGCCCCGAGACGTTCCAGTCAGACATCGGAGACGCACGCTCAGGCAGGCTTCAGGTCGAATGCCTGTTTTTCCCCCTGGCTCGTTCACCTCGCCGCGACCCGGCTCCGATGTTCGCCGGCCCGCAGGAATGTGTGCCTGCTTCCACCGAAACCAACTCTCTGGCTTCCAGTATGTTTATCCATAATTGCAAACAGACTGAAGTCCCTCCACAGCTTCCGTTGTGCCTGAAAACTCATCTCACCCACCTCCTCTGAATCACATCCCCCCTTCGCCCTTCATCAGTAAAAAAGAAAAACACAAACTGACTTTTTCCTGGTGCTTCTCTCGTCCCCGACCTTTGAATTTGACCTCTTTGGGGCTTTGGGAATTTGGTGATTTCGGCATTTAATGTGAAACAAGAAAGTATTTCCTCAAATGGGTGAACCCAAGCACAGAACAAGAACCACATTAGACAGTCTGCCTAGAACAATAACCAAACAATGGTTTTCCAAACAGATGTACAAAGAGTTTTACACACAATAAAAAGATAATAAATGACAGCAGTACAAATCCCTCCAGACGGGAATTGAAAGCAGAGTTGCATGAGTATAAATCAGACCAATAAGAGAGGAATCACACGGGAAAAATAAAAATCAATCGGCGTGTCTTTGGGATTTCAAGGACAACACTGAAGTGGTCGGATTACCAAAGCGAGGTGTTAAAAGCTATAAATTCACGCTCATTTCCTGTTTTTATGAAACCCCCAAATTGGAAAAAGACTCAGTCGCCACTTTACATGAAAACGTGGACGAGCACTCACATCTTAATGCTGAAGGTTGGAGAGCAAAATCCACATCTGTGCCACATATTGCCCCTTCCCAAAAAACCCTGTGAAATATCTGCAACACTCTGCGTTAGTTATTTGAAAAAACTCTTCATCACTGCAGAACGTTTTCCAGATAATTCTTCATTCAACCCCAAAAGAATAACACAGACTGTTTGATGTTTACCCAAAGAGCTTCATGTAGCCACGAGTTTGTGGAGAAGGATTTCCAAGCAGTTGTTGCTCTTGCATGTTTTAGTAATTTGGGATGCAGATTTTCCTTCAGGCAACATCTGTATCTAAACACAAGTTTTTTAATATCGGTGGGTTGTTGTGGAGCCTCGTCCGTCCCGACCTCCTGACCTCATCTGGGAGAATCCTGATAATCAATGTTAAATAAAAGTAGCGACAGAAGACAATGTGCCACTCAAACATTAAGGTAGAAATTAAGCAGGATAACGTGCAGGGCGGTCCTCTAATAGTCGACCAACTGACGCACTTTTCATTAGTCAGATAGTTTTAGAAAACCAAATGGTGCTAAACTCTGTTCGGGGGCCTGCGCCTTGTCACCAGGATAAAGGTATCAGGATTGTTGCATTGTAGATTTTTTTTATAAGCTGCTGCCACTAGCTAGTTAGCGGAGGAAGTTTGTTTACACTACTAGCACTGTAGCGGGGCCGGAAGGCAGCCTCCCAGTTACCACTGCCGGCACCGAACACTGCCTCCGAGAGGTCGGAGGTCAGATGATTTACAGTGGCGCCGACCAGGTTCAGGCCGGGAGAGGTGCGATTTAATTCATGTTTTGAACAACAAACTAACACATTAACAAAATGTTCAGTTTCAACAGGTGGCTGTTAAAATATATATATTTAAATAATCAAATTAATATCATAAATGTTTGATGGCTAGTCAATTAATGTCCCGAACCAACAGCCCTTTAATGTTATATCTAATCCAATCCAACTTTATTTGTTAAGCACTTTAAAAACAACCAAAGTTGCCCAAAGTGCTGTACAGGAGAATAAATAAGACATCATAAATGTAAACAGTGATGGTGATATAGACTATAATATATAATAATAATAATATAGACTTATAGATTGAGTCCCGATTATTAGACTTATAATTATTATTTGAAATATTAAATCATGTAGTGTCAGTATAAATTTCGTCCAATTTTTACGATGACGGAGATTCTTTACTGACAGTTTCCGCTAGAATTATAACAATTTCGTTATTTCACATGTAGCCTTAACAACAACATGTCCTTTTGCAAATCAATGGAGGCAACTACGTCTTCTTAATTTTGACATCAATAATAAAGGGCTAAAGATTAACAGGGCTAACCTGAGCTGTCAGTATAAATCAATACATTTATGTAAACAGAATATATATTTAATCTCAGTGGACGACTTAACAATAGAAAAATCAGAAAAGTAACTAAATTTCAGTCCATGGAAGCTTTTTTGTCCGTACAAAAATATTGCTTGTTTGGCAAAAAAAAGGTCCGAACATCGAACCTTGTGGAACACCAGATAGTTTTTATTCATTTTTCCAGGTTTAAAACATCAATAAAATCATGAAGGTGCCACATTTTTCTAGTTGTTTGTCAAACTCTGCAGCATTTATCAGGAGAAGAGCTTCTATTTGTTCATTTTAGGATGATGAAGACGAGGAATGTCCGTCCCAAATATCATGTTAATCCATCCAGTAGCTGTTGAGATATTTTGGGCCACAGTGTTAATAGTTGGACAAAAAAAGCAAAGGTCCAAGAATTGAGCCCTGTGGGACACCAGAAGAAAACGTTTTATTTCAACAGTTTTAAAACAACCAATAAAAACAAAAAGTAGTTAATCAGTTTGTTCCACTAGCTGCAGTATCAATACACTGAAGAGCTTGTTTTGTTATTTTGAGACAGTGAAGACGCCAAATCTTACACATCTGCCAAATTTCATTGTGACAACAGATCAATGAAACCAGCGATGGTATGTACTCACTGTCTGGCCTTAAGTGAGCCGGCCGTCTTATACTGATGCGACTAAGTGTTAAAGTGCCTTGCTCATCGGCAGCTCATTGTTCTCACTCCTTTCGATGTTTGAACAGTTTTTATTGCAGTTTCACACTTTACAACTGAACCAAACTGTCAATGCAGCATTTTAGTCAATAAACAACATTGTTCATTCACTGTTTCTCATTTTCTGTCGATGTTTCCGGGACTCTCCCAGTTTCACCATGAGTGCTTTTTCTGTGACTGTGTTGATTTTATTAAAGGGAGAACCACTTCAGTTTTAACATTTACTTGCATGTTATTAATCAGAAATCTGTTGTAATTAAAGATCTTAAATGCTGTAAAGACAAAAAACACTTATGCCTTCCTGTATAATTTGTTTTATATCTTATAGAAGTTTGATTCTTCAGCTTTTTACACAGAAAATCACTAAAAGCATTAAAACAGTGTGTTGATTTCTGTATGATTTTGTAGATACTAAACTGAAGAGAATAAAAATATTTTTGTGAGCAAAGATTCTGTTTCAAGTGAATGTAACAAAGTGCTGCAGTTCGCTTCGCCCTGGTTCCTTATGATTACTGCAGAAAATGATCTCTGTAGTGGGCAAAGGTTTGTGATTCATTGACACTTTATAGTGTCTGAAACGTAAATGTGATCAGAAGTGAAAAGCTAATGTCATAAACGGTCATAAACAAACTGACTTCAGTTACTTACTTAATAACATATTTTATGTCGTAGAATAAAATGACCTTGTGTTAACTAGAGACCTTACTTCAGACATCAGAAACCCATTCAATAAACCCGTCTACGTCGTTAGCTTAAATGCTAACTTCTGGGTTTTAAGACTAATGTTACATTGACACTATCTGATCTTATATAGGCTCTCAATATTTAAAATTCCCATTTTCTATTTGTATAAATGGAACAGACCTTATTGCAGACATATAAACAAAAACACTGAGTTTGTTAGCTTTAATGCTTCCTCACGTCTGAGCTATTTTTCTTTAGGCAGAAACTGTAAATGCACTCATTCGAGGTTTAAGTAACTCTTTAAAATAAAAACACGTTTGGCTGCTTTTAAAAACAGTAATTATTTTAGCAGCCGTGGTTTTTAAGACACGTAAAAGCTTTAACATTCACAGGTGGGCTATTTACTGACGGATTTTATGTCAGAGAGCAAATGTGAAAATCTCTTGAACTTTTGTTAACCTCTAAAATCTACTGACCTCCGCCCATCGGTTATTCTAAAGTTAAAAAATAAAACCTCTAAAATCTACTGACCTCCGTCCATCGATTATTCTAAAAGTTGTGTTTTTCATGTGAGTTTTAAATCTCTGCATGGATAGAAAATGCAGTTGTATGAAAACTGTTTGCGTCTGTTTACAAGCTTCTTCCAGAGCTTTCAGCTGTATCTCGCTTTTCTTTCTCAGCTGAAAATGTAGTTTATGAAAAGAGACGTTATGTTGAATTTTTAATGAGCAGCACAAAACTAAATGAGGTCGTCTCTGTTGTATTTCTGAAATCCTGGACCAACAAACAAACAAACAAACAAATAAATAAATAAATAAATAAATAAATAAAAGTGTCAGTGTGAGGAGGTGAACTGCTCCTTTAATGAATCTTGAACACAGACTTTGTTTCCCACCAGCAGCAGCTTCAGCATCTCTGAGAGATTGATTAACATTCATCACATGCAGACAGCATGGGAACAACAGTGTGTGTGTGTTCATTAATCAGTGTGAGAGCTGCAGGTCGTCCGTTGAATCCTTCGCCACGACGCCGGCGCCTTTGTGCCGCTCAGACTGACGGACAGACCGCTCTGTCTCTCTCTGTCAGCGAGGATAAAGGGAGATAAATTACATCTCGACAGTCGTTACTTTCTTTTTATTCCTCGGTTCCCTCGTTCGCCTCCACAAACACACAAAGACTCAAAGTTCGACTGTACAGACGCTGAAACCGTCGTTATAGATCTCAAATTAACTTAACCTCAAATTCATTTCCTCTTAATACACAACAGACGGTGTTTAATTCAGTGTTTATCCACCAACCAGCACTTCTGTATATAGTTATTGTTAATAAGTATAATCCTTAACATTCATTGCGAGTAAGTATAATTCATTTTGTCAGCACCACTAATTAAATGACAAAAGGTCATATTTGTAAAATAAAAAGTCATATTTGTGAGTAAAAAGTCCAATTTATGTGATTAAAAAGTGATAATGAGTTTTCTGTGATATTTCTTGAAGGGAGTTTTGGTGCAGGGAGCTTTTAGTTGAATTCAAACTCCTAATATGGATTTTGTTTCAACTACAGAAACAATATCTAACTGCAAAAAGTCTGATAGGGTTGTTGTAGTTTGATTAATGCCTTAAAAATGGGAGTATTGATTACTGACTGATCTGGATCATTATCAGCTCATTGTGCTCAGTTTCTAACTGCAGTGGTTGTTTGTGTTTATCTGTCACTCTGCTGAAAGTACAGAACACAATGAAATATTTTACATATAATAAATAAACTGAGCTTTAATGGAAATGGTAGTTTCTAAAACGGACACACCAAACCTCATTCAAAAAGTGGAGGATTTAACATGGGGACAAAAACCTGCAGCGTCACCTGCAGACGGATGCTAATTTAGCTTTTGTTTGTGATAATCTGCAGGTTTTAAAAGTCCCACATCTCCTCCCCAGACTGCTGGAGAGCATTAACACACACACACACACACACACACACACACACACACACACACACACACACACACACACACACACAGATACACACACACACACACTGGTCTCGTCACTCAGCTCCATTCACCTTTTTACTGCTGCTCAGTCGGGGTCACATCAACACACATTCAGCAGCCAAATCTCATCCCTCTGCAGTCATTCAACACCAGTCAGGATGCCTCAGTGGGGGGGTGACGGCTCAGTGTGTGTGTGTGTGTGTGTGTGTGTGTGTGTGTGTGTGTGTGTGTGTCCGTAATCTACCCCTTAATCCCAAAATCCTCTTCTTCTCTAAAGGAAACAGGAAGAAAAGGGCAGCATGAGTGATTGACAGAAATGGAAAAACAGCTTTCAGTCCTCAGTGTAACAAACCGGTGAATTACCCATCATGCTCGGGGTGTGGCGTCCGTCCAGCAGCATTCAGACACTTAACGTGTTAAAGCTGCAGATGATTGATCCTTTAAACGTCCAGCAGACTGCAGGTTGATGATGCAGTTTGTGTTTATATAATATATATATATGATTATATTTGAATATAAATATGCAAAGATGTCGAGTTTTTGTAAATATTTCAGCGTGTGTGTGTGTGTGTGTGTGTTTGTTACTGTGTGTGTGTGTTTGTTACTGTGTGTGTTTGTTACTGTGTGTGTTACTGTGTGTGTGTGTGTGTGTGTGTGTGTGTGTGTGTGTGTGTGTGTGTGTGTGTGTTTGTTACTGTGTGTGTGTGTTTGTTACTGTGTGTGTGTGTTACTGTGTGTGTTAAATGGACCTGTACTTGTATAGCACCGTTCTAGTCTTCCGACCACTCAAAGCGCTTTTACACTACGTGCCACATTCACCCTTTCACACACATTCACACACCGATGCATCGGGAGCAATTTGGGGTTCAGTATCTTGCTCAAGGATACTTCGACATGTGGCACCAGGAGCCGGGGATCGAACCCACAGCCTTCTGATTAACAGCCCTCTGAGCCACAGCCGCCCCTGGACCCCGGTGTGTGTGTGTTACTGTGTGTGTGTGTGTGTGTGTGTGTGTGTGTGTGTGTGTGTGTGTGTGAGTGTGTATTACTGTGTGTGTGTTACTTGTGTGTGTGTGTGTGTGTGTGTGTGCGTGTGTGTGTTACTGTGTGTGTGTGTGCGTGTGTGTGTGTGTGTTACTGTGTGTGTGCGTTGTGTGTGTGTGTGTGTGTGTGTGTGTGTGAGTGTGTATTACTGTGTGTGTGTGTGTGTGTTACTGTGTGTGTGTGTGTGTGCGTGTGTGTGTTACTGTGTGTGTGTGTGCGTGTGTGTGTGTGTGTTACTGTGTGTGTGTGTGTGTGTGTGTGTGTGTGTGTGTGTGTGTGTGTGTGTGTGTCTGTGTGTGTGTGCGTTACTGTGTGTGTGTGTG